AACCACTAACAACATCGACGATTGTATGGAATGTGTGTGTATATAACCGCTAGCAACATCGAAGATTGTATGGAATGCGTGTGTATGTAACCACTAGCAACATCGACGATTGTATGGAATGTGTGTGTATGTAGCCACTAGCAACATCGACGATTGTATGGATCGTGTGTGTATGTAACCACTAGCAACATCGACGATTGTATGGAATGTGTGTGTATGTAACCACTAGCAACATCGACGATTGTATGGAATGTGTGTGTATGTGACCACTAGCAAAATCGACGATTGTATGCAATGTGTGTGTTTGTGTTTAACCAGTAGCAAAATCGAAGATTGTATGTAATGTGTGTGTATGTAACAAATAGCAAGATCGACGATTGTATGGAATGTGTGTGTATGTAACCACTAGCAACATCGACGATTGTATGGAATGTGTGTATGTAACCACTAACAACATCGACGATTGTATGGATCGTGTGTGTATGTAACTACTAGCAACATCGACGATTGTATGGAATGTGTGTGTATGTAACCACTAGCAACATCGATGATTGTATGGAATGTGTGTGTATGTAACCACTAGCAACATGGACGATTGTATGGAATGTGTGTGTATGTAACCACTAGCAACATCGACGATTGTATGGAATGTGTGTGTATGTAACCACTAGCAATATGGACGATTGAATGGAATGTGTGTATATGTAACCACTAGCAACATCGACGACTGTATGGAATGTGTGTGTATGTAACCACTAGCAACATCGACGATTGTATGGAATGTGTGTGTGTGTATGTAACCACTAGCAACATGGACGATTGTATGAAATGTGTGTGTATGTAACCACTAGCAACATGGACGATTGTATTGGAATGTGTGTGTATGGAACCACCAGCAACATTGACGATTGTATGGAATGTGTGTGTATGTAACCACTAGGAACATGGACGATTGTATGGAATGTGTGTGTATGTAACCACTAGCAACATTGACGATTGTATGGAATGTGTGTGTATGTAACCATCTGCAACATCGACGATTGTATGGAATGTGTGTGTATGTAACCATTTGGAACATCGACGATTGTATGAAATGTGTGTGTATGTAACCACTAGCAACATGGACGATTGCATGAAATGTGTGTGTATGTAACCACTAGCAACATCGACAATTGTATGGAATGTGTGTGTATGTAACCACTAGCAACATCGACAATTGTATGGAATGTGTGTGTATGTAACCACTAGCAACATCGACGATTGTATGGAATGTGTGTGTATGTAACCACTAGCAACATCGACGATTGTATGGAATGTGTGTGTATGTAACCACTTGCAACATGGACGATTGTATGCTCTGCATTTGTGAGTAACCACCAGCAACATGGATTGTATGGGATGCATTTTTGAGTATCCATCTGCAACATCGATGATTGTATGCGAAGAATGATGCATTTGTGAGTAATCACCTGCAATATCGATGACTGTATTGATTGTGTGTATGTAACCACCTGCAACATCGATGATTGCACGTGATGCATTTGTGAGTAATCACCTGGAACTTAGACGATTGTATGTGATTTATTTGTGAGTAATCACCTGGAACATCGACGATTGTATGTGATTTATTTGTGAGTAATCACCTGGAACATCGACGATTGTATGTGATTTATTTGTGAGTAATCACCTTGAACATCGACGATTGTATGTGATTTATTTGTGAGTAATCACCTGGAACATCGAGGATTGTATGTGATTTATTTGTGAGTAACCACCTGCAACATCGACGAATGTATTCAATTCATTTGAGGGTATCCATCTACAAGATCAATGATTATATGCGAAACATTTTTGAGAAATTGCTAGGAACATCGATGATTGTATGGAATGTTTAATGGCGTATCCACCTTCAACATCGACAATTGTATGCAATGCATTTGTGAGTAGTCACCAGAAAATATCGACGATTGAATACGATGCATTTGTGAGTAAGCACCTGCAATATCGATGACTGTATTCACTGTGTGTGTATGTGATCACCTACAACATCGATGATTGTATCCGATGCATTTGTGACTGTATTGATTGTGTGTGTTTGTAACCACCAGCAACAACGATGATTGTACGCGATACATTTGTGAGTATCACCAGCAAATATCGACGATTGAATACGATGCATTTGTGAGTAAGCACCTGCAATATCGATGACTGTATTCACTGTGTGTGTATGTGATCACCTACAACATCGATGATTGTATCCGATGCATTTGTGAGTAACCACAAGGAACATCGATGAGTGGATGCGATGCATTTGTGAGTAACCAGTGGCAACGTCGATTATTGTATTAAATGTTTAATTGTGTAACCACCTGCAACATCGACGATCGTATGCAATGCATTATTGAGCAACCACCTGAAACATCGACAGTTGTATGCAATGCATTTATGAGTAGCCACCTGCAATATCGACGATTGAATGCAATGCATTTGTGAGTAACCACCTGGAATATCGACGATTGAATGCAATGCATTTGTGAGTAACCACCTGCAATATCGACGATTGAATACAATGCATTTGTGAGTTATCACCTGGAACATAGACGATTGCATGCGATGCATTTGTGAGTAACCACCTGCAATATCGACGATTGAATGCAATGCATTTGTGAGTAACCACCTGCAATATCGACGATTGAATACAATGCATTTGTGAGTTATCACCTGGAACATAGACGATTGCATGCGATGCATTTGTGAGTAACCACCTGCTACATCGATGATTGTATGGAATGGTAAATGGTGTAACCACCTGTAACATCGACGACTGTACATTACTTATACAACTGGCGGAAAATGTCGTGAGGGTGTCGAATAACTGGCCAAGGAAAAACTTGCTGCAGTTGGTGCAAGAGGATCAACACTGATAGCCAGTATCAGCGACAGTGACCTTGTCTGACGGTCTCAGTGCTAATTCGACACTGGCGGCTACACTTACGGTGATTGTTGAGGCTGGACTATCTCACAGCAGAGATCTAGATCTAGATCTACAGACAGCGTTGTGTCGGACAATGTGGAAAATGTGACCAACTCCGTGCCTTCTGTCACTGTAAGTGTTACAAATCTACAACGTGGACTAGCACAGTTAAAAAACACAGAGTGTCAACTGATCACGCGGCTGTGGGATTACCAAATCAACACAGCCATGAAGCGCCTTCTGATTCTCTGCCACACATTCACTCTGTCGCTCCAGCTCTTAAGATGAAGATCAAAAACGGCAAGTATTGCAACCTTGCTTTGCTATTATTACGCAACCAAGACACCTTAGGCGGAAGAATGACCGAATATGATGACAATGTCTACCAATTGGAAGAGGATGTTAGGTTAAATCGTGCACTGGCCCTTGCCAAATTCACCCAGGCCTTTGGCATATGTAAGAACATTTACAGTGAAACAAATGATGCAAAACATAAACAGTTGGACGAATATAAACTGATCTGTCAGCCCCACATGACACAGGCGATACGACACAGGTATCAACGATCTCATTTATAAGGAATCTGCTTCACTTTCCCACTTGACCACAGACAATGCTATTGCAGTTATTAAACAATTGGGGCATGGTGCACAGATGTGTAAAGTGTACATTACTGACGCATTTAAACAGATTCCGCTGCACCCCAAGTACTTTCCTTTCTTTGGTCTCCGATGCAATGCTAGCGACTACTTCTATTCTAGATTGTCTTTCGGATGCAGATCAAGTCCAAAGATATTCGATACCCTGTCATAAGCCGTGTGCTGGATGTTGCAATACAACTATGGCGTGGAAAATATTCTGCATCTGTTAGATGACTTCCTGACTATTGATCCTCCTGTTGTGAAGCTGGTAGAACTGTGGAAGCAATCCTAACCTTGTGACAACATAGCTACTGTATTATCAAAAAGGGTAGATCAAAATGTATGAACATCATGGCTCTAATGAGGACCCTCACATAGCAAGCAGCTACAATTAACTTTATCGTGTGAGCCGAACATGTTCCAGGTGTGCAAAATAACATTGCAGATGCACTTTCCCGTTTGCAGTTCAGGAAATTCCGAGCTCTGGGGCCACACGAGCTCACAAGTGATGTGGTCCTGAACAGACATTTGGATACCCTGTGGTCAGCAGCTATCAGTCAACACACAAGAACAGCCTACCCTACAGGTTTCCAGTGCTATATCAAGTTTATGTTAAAGTTCAGGTTGTTTACCCACTGGGTGCTAGCAGTGCCCTGCTACCAGTTAATGAAGCTAACCTTCAATACCCCATTGCTCATTGCCACGACGTCCTCAAACTCACACATGACACTGTTAAAACATATCTGGCAGGTGTCCGATTCACATATCTGCAAGCCGGTATCAGGACAGTGTTTGATTGACTCCATATATTGAACTCATATTTGGATAAGTTCTTGTAACTTCTTTGGAACATAATTTTAAGTTAAAATGAATAAGATGGTGGAACATGTACTGAAGATCGAGTTAATTGTTCTGCATACCATGCAATGTGTAGTGATAGTATACCAAGTTAAGGGTTTTGGGAAGATATAGTTTATAGTTTTTATAAATAGTTATTCATTGAAAACTTTGATATGACCGACAAAACTGGTTGGTTGCTATCATGTGTTACTACTTACACACAACCTGAAGAGAGGATGGTCCCACCACATACACAGGCCCATTCAGTGCTGAAACAATCAGAATATATTACTGACCTACACACAACCTGTAGAGAGGATGACTCTACCACATACACAGGCCCATTCAGAGCTGAAACAATCAGAATATATTACTGACCTACACACAACCTGTAGAGAGGATGGTCCCACCACATACACAGGCCCATTCAGTGCTGAAACAACCAGAATATATTACTGACCTACACACAACCGGTAGAGAGGATGGTCCCACCACATACACAGGCCCATTCAGTGCTGAAACAATCAGAATATATTACTGCCTACACACAACCTGAAGAGAGGATGGTCCCACCACATACACAGGCCCATTCAGTGCTGAAACAACCAGAATATATTACTGACCTACACACAACCTGTAGAGAGGATGACTCTACCACATACACAGGCCCATTCAGAGCTGAAACAATCAGAATATATTACTGACCTACACATAGCCTGTCGAGGGGATGGTTCCGCTGAACACTTAGTCTCATTTAGAGCTGACACAAACAGAATACATAACATTGTACAACTTGACATGGCTGATTCTATATTGTGTAATGATATCATTAATATTTTGTAGAATTACCTCATTCGGAATATTCTATAGTAATGCGTTACCACTTGTTATACCAAGGTTGTTGTCTCCCACAACTGGTTTTATAGCGAAATCTACCACAGAGATCTCAATTACCTCATGCAGCACATGCGTAGCCATCTCAGCTGCCATGTGACACCCTTCACTCTTGTCTGTCTCAAAGTGGTAACGTATTACTATAGAATATTCCGAATAGGAAAATTCCACAAATTACAAGAAGTAATACGTTACCACTTATTATACCAAGGCTGATTATCACAGTAGGTGGTGGGCAGCACCTACAACCCGAACCTGACTGCTCGTGTTCCTTCCGACCAGCGGATGTAAAAACAAGGCGGAAACACTCAATGCGCATGCTCCTAGCTTGGCGTTACCTTGTAGGAATACCAAAGCACTGTCAAGCGCATACCGTAAGGCTCAATCGTCATTGCCAAACGATTGGTGACTCCAAACGGCCCCACTGGATAGGTATTTCATCGCCGCAGCGGATGAGAACACAGTATCCGTGTGAGCTAAATCTTAGATCAGGTTAAACAGTCGGAAAGAGGGAAATTAATTTCATTCGGACCGTATATCCCACAGCAAGCCTACTTCAAGTATGCATTAGGCGCGTGACCTAATTCCAGTATTTGTAAGCATGCATTACAAGGTTGGAATACACGACAGACAATAAAAATACATAATTGTCAAAATACAAATAAGGACAAAACACACTAAAAGCCGCCCTCACCTGTGGTGTGAGTGCGCTGGTTTGCGGGACCCTCACTCCTGTACACACGGCAGTGGGAACATTGGAGTCCACCCAGATTGACCACCGTGCAAGGTCTGACGCCTGAGGAGTTCGGAATTGCGCTGGGCACACCCCTTATATTTGAGTGTAGGGCAAATGTTGCCGCTAGCGTCCTGTTCTTGTGCGGCTTTGACCCTGCAACCGGTATCCCCCGAGACCGGTACGCCAGATTGATGACAGAACGAAGCCATAACGCAATCGAGTTGCGAGTTATGTCAGCAGTCTGATTAGGGTTACACGATATGAACAGACGGTCACACCCTTGTCTGCGTTCATTTGAAGCCTTAAGATAATACTTAAGGGCCCTAACCGGACACAGTGATATGTCCTCAGTATCAGCAGGATGCAAGATTTCCTTGAGTGATCTTACAGTGAATTTTCTCTCCGTTTGGCCAAGTTTTTTATTCTTAGCAACGAAGCCCATGAGCAGGCCCAGGCGGACCGCTCCTTCATCGCCCCTATCGAATCGTACTTTAGTGACATCGAGTGCATGAATCTCAGACACTCGTGCCGCCGTGGCAAAGGAGAGGAGAAATGCTGTTTTCCAAGTCACATGCCAAAACGAAGCACTACTCAAGGATTCATACGGAGCTTCCATAAGTTATTTCAACACTAAGGAAAGATCCCAGGCCGTAGCCCGAAGGCGGCCTTTCTTAAGATCTTGCTGTTTGAAACTCTTGATAATACCCCGAATCACCGGCTCTTTTGAGAGACTGGTACCCATAGCAACGTCCCGTACCGTAGCAACAGAAGAGAGTAGTTGGCAATGGAACCCCCAGAGAGTTTCCGGGTCTCTCATAAGTGAGACATGAAACGATCAACGTCCTGCACAGATACCTTATCTGGCGAATGAATGTGATGTTTGCAACACCACTTCGTGAAAATAGCCCAGCGTGCATTATACACCTTTTGGGTAGAATCACAATGCATACTAATGTATGCCAGAGAAGACTGACGAGAAAAACCTTTACTCCTCAGTCGCTCGGTGACAACATCCACGCGTGCAGATTGAACTGCCCTGCGTTAGGATGAAGTTGACGGGTGTGAGGGTGGATCAGTAGATCCGGTCTCACAGGCAGTGGAATTGGCGACTGCCTGACCTGGGCCAGCAAGTCGGGGTACCACGATCTGTTCGGCCATATGGGCGCGATCAGCAACATTCGACAGCGAACTCCTCGGAGCCGGCTTAGAATGAGTGGTATTAACGCCGTCTTGGGTAAGCATAAGCTTCCATACCCTTCCTGTCTAACGCGAGAGCATCGTGATCGATGGCCCTCAGGTCCGGGACTGGTGATACAAACAACGGGAGTTGATTGTTGTACCTGGTTGCGAACAGGTCGACCATCGGACGACCCAGACGTTCGCACAGACACTGAAACACTACTGGATTGAACATCCATTTCGTGGGGCTCGGATCCCGAGGCCTCCACAGCGCGTCTGCCAGTACGTTCCGCACACCGGGACTCCTGATAAGACGTTGCAAGGGACCGTCCACCACTCCAGATGCGGTCGGAGCCAATCTGGGAGGGCGACGGATGCACTGTTCTCCTCCTGTGCTAACAACTGGATTAGAAACCGTTGCAGCGGGCGGAGTTGGAGACGACCCTGTTTGGTGCAGTCCTGGGCTGACACAAGTAGCCCTAACAGCTGTTCCCAAAAGTGAACTGTCTGTTGCACCGCTAAGACTTTGTCAATCATCACCGATTCGCCACTTGCGAGTCGTCCAGGTATGCAAAGTACCTGACACCCCTCCTGTGGAGGAACCCCACTATGGGAGTGGTTAACTGGGTGAACAGCCAGGGAGCGGACGATAGGCCGAATGGGAGTGCTACCCACTTGTAATGCCTGCCTTGAAAGACAAACCTGAGATACTTGTGATGGTCTGGATGGATCGGAACATGCAGATAAGCATCCTTCAGGTCGATCAATGCGAGCCAGTCAGCGGGCATGATCAGAGCTTTCAGGTCCGCCAAGGTCAACATTCTGAACTTGGGCGGGTTGTGCATGTAAAACTCGTTGAATGACTTCAGATTGGGAATCATTCTGAGTTCGGCACTGTCCTTCTGAGGAACGAGAAATATCCTGGAGTAAAACCCCGGTGTTATTTCTGGTAGGGCTAACTCCCGTACCGCCCTCTTCTCCACCAGCCTGCCGATGGCATCGGCCAGGATGGGAAGATCGGTTTCCGAATAGAAACCTTCCAACAACGGGGCAACGGTGAGTGGCGGATCCGCTTTGAGATCTAGCCGATAGCCGTACCGGATCGTGTTGACCACCCACGGGTCGTCGAACACTTGTTCCCTATTCTCCCAGAAAGTCTGGAGTCTGACTACCACCGGGGAAGGAGAGGGGGGCCTGACAGGCTGCGGCAGGCGCAACTGTCCAGGGCTGGGTGACTCGGGTTCGCCTACGGGCCAAGTGAAGTTGGCGCTGTCGGCATACGAACCCCTCCAGTGAAAGTCCCCTGGAGGAGCCCTTGCCGTCCCTAGACAGCTTGTGGACTTCCCCAGTTCCCCTTCTTCCCGCAAAAGGGCGGCTGATTGCCCTTACCGGAGCCCACAGAGCGGGGCTTCTTCCTGGAAGAAGGACCCGACCCCTAGACCGGTGGACCCCGCGGCCACTGAAGAAGCCGGGGACGGAACAGCCAGCGGCCTATCCCGAGATAAGGCCGCCAGCTTGGAGTCAACAAGTTGAGAAAGTAATGCTGTGACAGAATCCCCGGACAGCCCAAGGGCCGCCAAGGGATCCCCTGCAGCCGTGGAGGTGGTACCCGCAAGGGGACCCCGACCGGACGAGCCGGCCACAACAGGGGTGGAAACAGAATGCAGTACAGACTGTAGCGCTCAACGCCTCAGACCCCCGCACAGGGCGCATCGGGTGTCCCCGCAAGGAACCCTGCACCGCGGGCAACGATCGTGGGGATCCCGAGAAGAGAGGAATTAGAGGGGGTAGAGGGGGTTGAGGATGGCGACATGTCCATGTCCGACATTGTCCGACATTGTTACTATGAACAAAGAGTAAAACATGGTTACAACACACGCACCACAAATATTCACAAACGAACATTTTCACAAGAAAATAAATGAGCATTGCGAATATAGAACATACACATATAGCATATAGAGAAATAAGTGATGTAAACCCCCAAGACATACTATTACAGGGGAACGTAAGACGCAACGTGCATAGGAGACACCCCGCAAGTATATAGAAAAAAGGGAGGAAAAATGTTCCTTTTGGCGGGTTCCAAGCGTAGTTACAGCAAACGCCCACAAAAAAGCACAGTTTATATGAGTCAATAAACAGTAATAAATACACCAAAGGTTGGAGAAACAGGAACGCTTCAGAGCAGTCACTATACGTCTTGCTGGAGCAAGCGAAGAGACAAGAGTGAAGGGTGTCACATGGCAACTGAGATGGCTACGCACGTGCTGCATGAGGTAATTGAGATCTCTATAGTAGATTTCGCTATAAGAGCAGTTGTGGGAGACAACAGCCTTGGTATAACAAGTGGTAACGTATTACTTAATGTAATTAATAAATTAAGACAGTTTATTAACAGACGAATCGTTACAGATTCAATATCCACGCAATGAGGTCAACACGCATTAGCAGTAGCTGACATTCACGAACATTGTAAACAAGGAGGACTCACCTTGTAAAGAGGCGAGGTGGTCTTCTTCATCGACAATCATCTGAACAGGGAAAGTAGAAGAGTTGAGTTTAGTGTCTTATGTACAAGGATACACACAAATAATATCATTGTATAATGTATCTGTGCAACGTGGTCTCACATAATGGAGTATCCTGAATTTGATGTTCTTTGGCTAACTAATCTTGACATACTCGTTGACCTGAATTGTTTTATAACAAGTCCATGTTCTCCACTGAAGCATGGGTTTCCAAAAGGTCGAAGATAAAACCAGTTCGGTTACTCTTTGCCAGGCACGATCCATTGATTTGTCAGCACCAAACACGTGCTCATAGGTTTATTATAATATATGTGAGTTATATATAGGAGTATATAAATGTGCAGGGAGTGGCAATAACACACAGACAGTTTGAAAACAGTGAGTCCGATACACATTTCACCCAGGAAACACTAAAAAGAAAACACTACACACTTCCCACACAGGCAGAGTGAAGACACACATGACACAGGACGAAGATAACACATGTCACACTAAACACTTCTCTCACAGGCAGAGTGAAGACACACATGGCACAGGACGAAGATAACACATGTCACACTGAACACTTCCCACACAGGGAGAGTGAAGACACACATGACATAGGACGAAGATAACACATGTCACACTAAACACTTCTATCACAGGCAGAGTGAAGACACACATGACACAGGACGAAGATAACACATGTCACACTAAACACTTCCCACACAGGCAGAGTGAAGACACACATGACACAGGACGAAGATAACACATGTCACACTAAACACTTCTCTCACAGCCAGAGTGAAGACACACAAGGCATGGGTAGGAACAGATAGTCATTACAACTCGACCCTCACTCAAACCCGCAAATCAATGACGTTGAACATTACACATCTCACACGACTAGAATAAAGATAGTGAACACAACACGTCTCATACAGAGAGAATATAGATAGTGAACACATCTCACACAGGGAGAATAAAGATAGTGAATACAACATATCTCATACCGGCAGAATATATATAGTGAATACAACATATCTCACTCAGGCAGAATGTCGATAGTGATAACAACACATCTCACACAGGCAGAATATAGATAGTGAATACAGCACGTCTCACACAGGCAGAATATAGATAGTGAATACAATATATCTCATACCGACAGAATATACATAGTGAATACAACACATCTCACACAGGAAGAATATTGATAGCGATTTACAAAACATTTCACACATGCAGATGATAGATAGTGAATGCAACACATCTCACACAGGAAGAATATAGATAGAGAATGCAACACCTCTCACACAGGCAAAATATAGATAGTGAATGCAACACCTCTCACACAGAAAGAATATAGATAGAGAATACAGCACGTCTCACACAGGCAGAATATAGATAGTGAATACAACACATCTCACACAGGCAGAATATAGATAGTGAATACAGCACGTCTCACACAGGCAGAATATAGATAGTGAATACAGCACGTCTCACAAAGGCAGAATATAGATAGTGAATACAACACAACTCACACAGGCAGAATATAGATAGTGAATACAGCACGTCTCACACTGGCAGAATATAGATAGTGAATACAGCACGTCTCACACAGGCAGAATATAGATAGTGAATACAACACAACTCACACAGGCAGAATAAAGATAGTGAATACAGCACGTCTCACACTTGCAGAATTAAGATAGTGAATACAGCACAACTCACACAGGCAGATGATAGATAGTTGAAGATAGAGGATATAAACCCCTCTCAATCAAACAGCCAAATACAAACCACATCGCATACAGAGAGAACAGCATACATCACACTGCATTGCTGTATTACTTAACCCCTGAAGTAAGACATGGAGTAATCCTAAGGGGTGACCCACTCTGCATTGCTGTATTCCTTAAACCCTGAAATAAGACATGGAGTTATTCTAAGGGGTGACCCACTCTGCATTGCTGTATTCCTTAAACCCTGAAATAAGACATGGAGTAATTCTAAGGGGTGAACCACACTGCGTTGCTGTATTCCTTAAACCCTGAAGAAAGACATGGAGTAATTCTAAGGGGTGAACCACACTGCGTTGCTGTATTCCTTAAACCCTGAAGAAAGACATGGAGTAATCCTAAGGGGTGAACCACACCGCATTGCTGTATTACTTAACCCCTGAAGAAAGACATGGAGTAATCCTAAGGGGTGAACCACACTGCATTGCTGTATTACTTAACCCCTGAAGTAAGACATGGAGTAATCCTAATGGGTTAACCACACCGCATTGCTGTATTACTTAACCCCTGACGAAAGACATGGAGTAATCCTAAGGGATAACCCACGCTGCATTGCTGTATTACTTAAACCCTGGCGTACCACATGGAGTAATCCTAAGGGGTAAGCCACACTGCATTGCTGTATTACTTAAACCCTGAAATAAGACATGGAGTAATCCTAAGGGGTGAACCACACTGCATTGCTGTATTACTTAACCCCTGAAGAAAGACATGGAGTAATCAAAAGGGGTGAACCATACCACATTTCTGTAGTACTTAACCCCTGAAGAAAGACATGGAGTTATTCTAAGGGCTGAGGTAAACTGCATTGCTGTATTATTTAACCCCTGAAGAAAGACATGTAGTAATCCTAAGAGATGAGCCACACTGCATTGCTCTATTACTTAACCCAAGGCGAAAGATCAGAAATGGGCCCCACTGGATATAAATAGATATAAGATAATGTCTTCTTACGTTTCCTATGATGTCAAACAAGTCACTCTCCTTCAGCAACCCCTGTTGAAACCGCCTCAGTTTGGCAATCTGACTTCTCTTCACAGGCCTCTGGTGGATTTTATCTTCTGATAAAATATAGAATGGCATTGTGGGTAGAGAGAAGAAGCTGAATCACATAGATAGAATCCTTATACAAATATGGCAATTATTAGCATTGGGATGTGGCACTCAAGGTTTGCTTAGGACAACACATATATTGGTCAACAACATGATTATCAAACTTTAACTTGACCGTATTTTGGTAACCCATCACGCATTAATTTTGGCTTTCACGCACTGTGCGTGAAAGGAAATCAATGTGTATACAAATATTCTACATCAACAATGCTTGCTATATTAGTATGCTTGACAGTGTGATATCACAACTTAATGCTGTACGTGCTGCAGAGCATGGAATCGTTTCCAACCAATGCAGTCCTCAACGCAGTGGGAGGACAGGTTGCTGAAGACATCCGTTCATGCCGGCAAACAGTCTCGTAAGCCACACCAGTAAACATGTCAAGACAAGCAATGTGTTTTCAAGGAGATCTTCGTTCCTCCAGATCAAGTATCCCATACAACTGATTGGCATACACGGGCCCGTTTTGCCTGGTGTTAAGATAACACCAACTGGACGGTGCTTGACTGGTCCCCTTTTTTCTTCTCTAGTTGAGTTCACAGAACCGACCCGTGAAGATCCGGGGTAGAATAGGTCTTCAGCAGCCCATGCTTGCCGTAAAAGGCGACTATGTTTATCGTAAGAGGCAACAAACGGGATCAGATGGTCGGGTTCACTGACTTGCTTCATGCACGTCATCGATTTCAATTTCGTGGATTGATGCTCATGATATTAATCACTGGACTGTCTGGTCCAGACTAAATTTTTTACAGACCACCGTCAGAAAGCTGAAATATTGCTGAGTGCGCCGTAAAAAAACAACCAACCAACCAACTTCACAGAACCTCGTGGTCGGGTGTTGCGCAATGGTATCAGGAGGCTAACGTTGCTAAGTGGGTCAGCTGTTCCCTTCAAGGATGACATTTGCGACATGTACATTCATTATCATTGGTGACTACGCAAATCCTCATCATGTCAGCCATATGGACCAGTACTTGAATGATGACAGAATCGATCGTATTGTGCTTGATCACCTGACCCGAGTCCATGAGTACATGTTTTGGACGTCCATTACACCATATCCTGCAGTTCCTGGATATAGACAGGTCCTGCTTAGTGTTGCCATTACACCACATCCTGTAGTTCCCCGATATATACAGGTCCTGCTTGGTGTTAACATTACACCACATCCTGCAGTTCCCCGATATATACAGGTCCTGCTTGGTGTTAACATTACACCACATCCGGCAGTTCCTGATATATAGAGGCCCTGCTTAGTGTTGCCATAACGCCACATCCTGTAGTTTCATAATATATACAGCTCCTGCTTAGTGTTGCCATAACACCACATCCGGCAGTTCCCCGATATATACAGCTCCTGCTTGGTGTTGCCATTACACCACATCCGACAGTTCCCCGATAAATACAGGTCCTGCTTGGTGTTGCCATAACACCACATCCGGCAGTTCCCCGACATATACAGGTCCTGCTTGGTGTTGCCATAACACCACATCCGGCAGTTCCCCGATATATAGAGGTCCTGCTTGGTGTTGACATTACACCACATCCGACAGTTCCCCGATATATACAGGTCATGCTAGGTGTTAATGTAGCAGTTTAGTGAAGGTCTTTTTATAGCGAACAAACACATGCTACGGGGTTGAGGTCTTTATTGCGATGCGTCGAGTGTGATAAAGGATCTATATATCATACACCCTGAAACACATAATAACACAATAAATACTAAGTAAAACATTATCATTAATGCTAGATACATAGCATAGGCGTATTACAAGTAATTATTTACATATATTAGTCATCCATTAAACACAAGATAGACTGAACCTTAAACGATTATACTAGAACATATACAGTATGTACATGATCAACAATACCGACATTCAAGGGAGATAACTCCTTGACTTTCATTTGACTATAATATATACACAATATATATACATAATATAAATGCATAACGCTTACACATTCTGCATAAACATATACAATACTTTAAGACAGAAATTAATGATATGATATTACATTAAATGTGGTTATCACAATTAGATTACATTGTAAGTCTTAGACAAATATAAATAACACAATGCATACCCTGTGGGTGATACAAGGGTGTGGATCCCAACTGCCTATATGGCAACACCATAGATTATCTGAATAAACAATACATAGACTAAAACACTATTTAACATTTAATATATTGAACAAAGTAATACACACATTTTCTTTACAATGATTTGCATTGTATCACATCTAAATCTCTACATTACAAAGCTTATTAAAACACTCTTGAGGTAAAACACTTTCACACATATTTCATTGAAGTGATAGAATACATTTTAGTGATAAAGTATGGATGTTTAGCTTATCCTATGCAGATTTAAATATTTAGACATAAATCAACATTTATGTTAGATTACATACATTTAGTTTACTTCATATAACACTTTGAACATACTGTATTATTTAAATACAACACAAGATAGAGATTATAACCATTTAACTCACCTGATTTAATATTCTCTCTTTACACTTTGCTGGTCTGAGCAGTTCTGTCAGTTTATGTGCTGAGAGAGTATGCAGTGTAATCAAAGCATGCAGTTTAACAATAGGTGTTAGCTTGGCCAATCAGCAAATGAAGCTTCTGGCCATGGGGCAGTTAGTAGGTAAGACAGGTCAGATACACTTTGTTATAGCTGACTGAAACGGACAACTAGTTATATATGATAAATATACGTAAAAACCTAAAATGAAATTAAAACAAATATATACAAAAACTACATCGGCCACATACTTCCCTCCATCGAAAAATGACGTCCACGTCACTTTACCTTGCCAGTGACACCACATCCTGCAGTTTCATGATATATAGAGGCCCTGCTTAGTGTTACCATTACACCACATCCTGCAGTTCCCCGATATATACAGGTCCTGTTCAGTGTTGCCATTACACCACATCCTGCAGTTTCCCCGATATATACAGGTCCTGCTCAGTGTTGTCATTTACACCACATCCAGCTGTTTCCCGATATATACAGGTCCTGCTTAGTGTTGTCATTACACCACATCCTGCAGTTCCCCGATATATACAGGTCCTGCTCAGTGTTGTCATTACACCACATCCTGCAGTTCCCCGATATATACAGGTCCTGCTCGGTGTTGCCATTACACCACATCCTGCAGTTCCCCGATATATACAGGTCCTGCTTGGTGTTGCCATTACACCACATCCTGCAGTTCCCCGATATATACAGGTCCTGCTCAGTGTTGTCATTACACCACATCCTGCAGTTCCCCGATATATACAGGCCCTGCTCAGTGTTGTCAATACACCACATCCTGCAGTTTCCCGATATATACAGGTTCTTGGACTGTCATGATCGGACAGTTCCTCATTTAGCTAAAATTCAGATGCTATTGGAAGGCATGGAGGCGGCGATCAATCAGATCAAAGTGGTCACACACAAACACACATTACTGACACCGCGACTCGGAACACTCGATGCAGTTGTTTTCAGATTTTGACAACAGGACTGAATGTCTTGTTTGATCGATTATCGCACCGGGCGGACCAGTCGTCTAGAGCTCCGAATAATGATTCTTGGCTCGTTCTTGTTGGTTCAGCCAAAGTGGTAAACGTGCTTACATCTGCCTCACCTCCTCCCACATCAGGCTGACACGACCTCATATAACTGAAATACTGCTCGAAGTAGCGTTCAAATTCACTCACGGGTAGGATGAACATTGAGTATGATGAGTCTTACCTGGAGAAATCTCTAACTTGGCTGTCTGGATGAGGGAAGGTCCGGGTCTGACCATCTCCTGCAATTATTTCAGATACAGATATAAATATATGCACATACTTATTAATGAGAATCGCTCGCAATGTCAACAATCAGTTCAGTGTGAGAATGTATGTACACATAGGCACTATTGTGCGAGATATTGAAGTTATCAGAATTGTGTGATGTTTTGTGTGCCTTAAATTCGTTTACTGTGTGATATTATGCCATTATAGCTATTGTAAGCCATATTTAAATTTTCACCTTTTATACACATTACTTTAAAAACATATTCATATGAATCAGAGTTGTGAGTTCTATATGTAACTTGAAAATGCCGAGCGCCTTCTTGTGTATGAAACACATACACAATACACACGTGTTACAGGTTCACTGTCAGCAGTAGGTTCATCAGGTTATACCTGTGCTGAACAATTTCGAACACCTTGTATGTATCATCACTAATTGATAGTGATTCATTTACTCATGCTTATGATACAGACACAGCATTTTGGACAGATTTCTTTTGATTTTAGTGTTTTGTTGCTTTATTTAGAAGAAAGGTTTGTTGATTGGGTTCATTGGTAGAGGAGAGGAGTGCCTCTCTGATCTTAATCAATAAATATGAATGCCGACTCACACTGATGACTTCCGGCAGCTGCACGTCGCACAGGGACAACACATCCTGGTGTCTCTGTAGGTAGTGCACTTTGATGAGCCACTCATGAGGAAGGTCTGTAGGTACAAGATAAGTCAGATGACATATTCTTGATAATTGTGGTTAAGGTTTAGACGGAAGTGTTCGTGACCTGCGTGTGCCATTTCAGATCTATTTGTCCGTACAATGCAAGGGGGTTTGTACAATGCAAGTTGTCAAAGTGATGTGCGATGGCAAAACAACATCAGAAACACCACGAGTATTGATCATGTAATGCGAGACACTATGAATCATGTAATGCGAGCCACTATGAATCATGTGATGCAAGCCCCTATGGACCATGTAATACGAGACACTATGAATCATGTAATGAGAGCCACTATGAATCATGTGATGAGAGCCACTATGAATCATGTAATGAGAGCCACTATGAATCATGTAATGCGAGCCACTATGAATCATGTGATGCGAGCCACTATGAATCATGTAATGCGAGACACTATGAATCATGTAATGAGAGCCACTATGAATCATGTGATGAGAGCCACTATGAATCATGTAATGAGAGCCACTATGAATCATGTAATGAGAGCCACTATGTATCATGTAATGCGAGACACTATGAATCATGTTATGCAATCCACTATGAATCATGTGATGAGAGCCACTATGAATCATGTGATGAGAGCCACTATGAATCATGTGATGCGAGCCACTATGAATCCTGTCTCACGAATCACAAAGGATCATATAATACGAGAGACACAGGATTGTGTGATATGAGTCAATATTATATCTGTGTGCATATCTGTAAACGCTTCATTTTCACTTGTGTTGTTGATGTTGTTTTAACGATATTATGATTATATTACTGTGCACGTCAATGTAATTATTTTAATGTAAGTTATTGGTTCTCAATTCATGATTTCCTCAAGTCCATTTGGATATTTGTTTGGTCAACCCTGAAACTCCAGGTGTAGGTATGTTTATCCACAGATTCCAGCCGTCTGTGGCAACATGTTATAGAGATGTATAACCCGTGCACTAGTGTGATACGTACCACAGTACAGCGAATCAAGGTGTCGTTTTTGATGGTCTTGTTCCTTAAAATACACGGAAAAATCATTCAAACCATTCATATTCATAAACGTCGATAGTGACATATTGTTCTTTATCAAACTGTCTTTACTTAGTCGTTGGTTATACAATTAGATTATGTATAAAATATTGTGACAAAAATATAGAGATTGTTTATGAATCATTTGAACTTGATACGGATGTACTTTGAATTTATCCACTGTGGTATAGAAAATTGTACCTCCTCTAAGGTCAGCAACCTCTTCTCTTGTTCGGCGATCTCTGCAATACCTGAAGGAGAAGTCCACATATAAACAGGGTCAGAGTGAGAAGCGCTGATACTGATGTCTGCTACATTGATACTGATGTCTGCTACATTGATACTGATGTCTGCTACATTGATACTGATGTCTGCAATACCTGAAGGAGAAGTCCACATATAAACAGGGTCAGAGTGAGAAGCGCTGATACTGATGTCTGCTACATTGATACTGATGTATGCTACATTGATACTGATGTCTGCTGCATTGATACTGATGTCTGCTACATTGATACTGATGTCTGCTACATTGATACTGATGTCTGCTACATTGATACTGATGTCTGCTACATTGATGCTGATGCCTGCTACATTGATACTGATGTCTGCTACATTGATACTGATGTCTGCTACATTGATACTGATGTCTGCTACATCGATACTGATGTCTGCTACATTGATACTGATGTCTGCTACATTGATACTGATGTCTGCTATATTGATTCTGATGTCTGCTACATTGATACTGATGTCTGCTACATTGATACTGATGTCTGCAATACCTGAAGGAGAAGTCCACATATAAACAGGGTCAGAGTGAGAGGCGCTGATACTGATGTCTGCTACATTGATACTGATGTCTGCTACATTGATACTGATCTCTGCTACATTGATACTGATGTCTGCTACATTGATACTGATGTCTGCTAAAATGATACTGATGTCTGCTGCATTGATACTGATGTCTGCTACATTGGTATTGGTCTCTGCTACATTGATACTGATGTCTGCTACATTGATACTGATGTCTGCTAAATTGATACTGATGTCTGCTACATTGATACTGATGTCTGCTACATTGATACTGATGTCTGCTACATTGATACTGATGTCTGCTACATTGGTATGTCTGAGATTCCAAGGACACAACCACACACATTCTATACGTTCATAACATAAACGCATCCACTGATAATGGGGAGGGACAATAGGACGTGTGGCTGCACTAGCTCAAACTGTTTGACACCTTATGTCACGGTTTGTGGGGCTTAGATACCTCAGGGAATTTCCCCGCCCAATACCTTGTGTAAAAGCCCACGTTACCATTATGGAAAGCTGACTTTCCACAGTCACAATACATGCTCGGGTCGAAACAGGAACAGATATTGTAATTAATGCAATGTAATATGCTGTTTACTCCCTGGTACATTGATTGATTCTCACACTTTTAGTTCAGGCTTAGTGTTATATACCATGTCACTGCGGACATTAGAGCATTGATGTCTTTCAAGCCAGGAACATCGATACAATAGTTATCATTGTTAATAATTCTTAGAATATGGCGGGAAACCTCACTTCTTTGCAACATCTAACCACTAGAGGTAGATGAATTGGGGAGGTGGGAGGGAGAACTTCTGATGTAATAGAGTTAGTATTCTGAGAATAATTAACAATGATAACTATTGTTCGATAATTCTTGCGAATCCTCTGCCTCTATTACATCTTTCCAAGAATAAACCAGAGGGATCCGGCGGGATCTGCCTCTCGTAACTCCCTGTGTAAATGACAGTAATCCTCTTCTGGAAACCAGAAGTAATGCTATGCTATGTAATATGCAGTCCAAGTCCTTAAACATTCACTGATTCTCAACACTGTTTAGTTCAGGATGGCTGACTATAAGCCATGTCACTGCGGACATTAGTTCATTGGTGTCTTCCAAGCCAGGAACGTTGTCTATACATGTCAAGCTGCACACTTACCTATAGCTGTCTCTGCAGCTCTCATGTCCCGTTCTTGACTTGCAGTGTAGTCATCACTCAACGTCCCCTGGAATGATATGTGATTTACAAGTCTGCAAGTTGTCCATTCAACAATATCAACTTATTAGGGAATTTATTACTATCATTTGACCAAAACGTGACACTGATCCTACCTTTGATATAGATGGCTCATCAAAGTGACTGCTATGAGACTCGTCCATATCTGAGGAAAATGAATACTTTGTTGTTATCAAACATATGACAGTTATTACATACACATAAACATAAATATATAACATAGTGTCATGGTTTTGCATTGATGTCTACATGAACTAAGTTGAAAGATGATCATGATGCCTTAAACACACTAAGAACATTTCTGAATTTGAATAACCTGGCAAACAGGCCATGACTTGCTCTGGATAAATTGGACAGATATAAAAAACACGCGTTGAAATTAAAACGTTGTCGCTAAAGTACTCTTGCTGTAAACATTTCACTTGTGTACTTTTCGTTATATCATCAACATTTCATATTCAGTTTCGGTAACATAGTGCGATTATGTTTACATCTATTATACCCACAAAGAAATGCGTGCACTTGGAACTGTTCTATACAGTCAATGACCCTGAATCCAAAACTGATTGATACGCTGCTAGCTGACTGATACTTTGAACCATCTTAATAGGGTGGTGTTACTACGAGAACACCACAGGGAGCAGTGCCTATTATTGGATACATTGCATGGGGTTTCCATTTGTTTAAAAAAATATCACAGTTGAAAAATTCCCTAAACTTAAAAATCAGTTCACCTTTCGATTGATAAGTGAGGAAGTACAAAGGTTCATGAGTTCTGCTATGGAAATGAAGCCCTCATTAAATTGTAATTTGAAAGATTTTTCCCTTAAAAACATTCCAGAATTGCAAAGGACACCAGTTCAAACCTTGACTGATATCTGTGCAATTTGTGCTCATGAAAGCGGAATAAAATATAAACTTCAAACTTTTCTGTGATATCTGTGAAAAGTTTGGTACAGAAATATTGAATGATCTTTGAGTTTTCGTCCGGAAACAAAACGTGACGCACGGAAGGCGGGGCGAACAACACTCAATCCTGTGTCCCCTCCCACTGTGGCGGGGAATATTACATCAGCAAGAACGAGAACAACCAGACTCACCTTCGGCCCTTTTCATCATATCCTGGAACTGAGAGAAAAGTGTTCGTTAGTATTGTAGTAAGAAGATAATTAGTCCATTCATTAATAACTGTAAGATATAACTGTTAAGTATATAGGGTTATTAAGTTGCAAATGCACCCTGGTATAATTGGCTGCTTCTGTACAGTGAGAGCTGTCGGATGATATTCGAAGAACAGAATATTAAACCACTATATGGTTACCTGTATTGACATCGGCCCCACGTCCCCTGTCTTCGTCACGTCTTTTTCTTTGTCTCCGGAATCTTTAAGGGAATTTGCAATCATCACAGACAAAATGTTTACAGAAATAGAGCCAGGCTTCATGTTTTGAGTCCATTACGTTTCAGTTAAACATATGTTGATTGGTTGAATAATAGTTGCTAATATAATGTTATAGGTTTATCATCAATAGATGTTTATGAGTTGCAAAATGATTTAAGATTGTCACCTGTGTCACCAAAAGTGGCAAAGGTTAATTTGATAATTAACTAATACTGTAAATCTTGAAATTAATGCGTCTCTAACTTAATACGATTAATTATAGTAGATTTCTGAGCACAGCCATCGCCAATAACCCCAACACGTTAGCAACACCACCCACCTGACCCATGTCAATAATCCTGTTACATTCCACAGCTGGCTCAAACTAATACCTTCTTCATGGCAGCTACATCTTACATAGGCCGGATTAATAATACCTACACTGTACTCTAACCCTGGCCATGTCAATATCCGCTAGGACTCATCTGCATCCTACATTCAGCCCACGTACATGACCTTGAGATGTCAGCTGCAGACTCCATCTAGCCAATGCGACTATACCCTACACGTCAGCTGCATCTTAGGACAGGCGAACGACAAATACTCCCCACATGCCAACTGCATCCTGCGCCTAGCTTGACATTAAACTCTACATGCCATGAAACTACATTTTGCAACGAGTCCACGGAAATCATTAAACTGTTTGAGGACGACAGGAATACAATTGAAGAAAGTATTTCTTACACAGGGACAATTCAAATCAGACTCATCGGCTGGATCGAGTAAAATGTATACTTAATGTATCATTTTGAGATCATATAAACCTCTGATATTTCGATCCATCTAGTTATACAATGGTACACAAGTACATAGAGACAACGTCTACAGTAACACATTCACAAAACAGACAACAGACCATGGAGCATGGTATCTTCTATGACATAGCTCTCACTAACAGTTTGATAGAATTCAGTTCGACTCATTCCTTTTCAAATATATTCAAATATGCCAGAAAGCAGATCAGGCAAGACGATGGCATATAATAATAATCAGCCACGTTTTGTCAATATTGTTTTGAATGACACATGATACAGATGTCAGGAGGAGTGTTTTGTTGTAAGGGTACTGCATATTTTAGTCTAAAGTTCTTTATAAAACAATGTCTGTCTGTCAGCAGTAATATCTGTGTTTTTAAAATTCACACTCCTAATCAATGACGATTATCGATGTGTTGATAATCACTTCATATCACTTCTTTATATTTAAGAATTGTTTAGGTCAATCAAAGATGTCCGCCTTGCTGTTTCTCCTCGCCAGACCAACCTTATTTTTATTTTAAAAAACAAGGAAATTATGTAACATAGATGATATCAGCGATGAATTTCATAAAATATTTAGATGTTTATATTTCACAGGAAAAAGAAATGTGCCTTATGCCAAAAACAATATTTCGTAAGACCAAATAAATAATTGTAATAAATTTGTAATTAATTTCTTTTCTGATTAATTGTTGTTATTCATTGTTGTTTAACGCCGCATTCCAGCTGTGCGGCGGACTGTAAATAATCGAGTCTGGACCAAACAATCCAATGGTTGACATCATGAGCATCGAGCTACGCAATTGGGATACGATGACAAGATCCGAGAATCCTATATACCAAAATCGGGACATTTGATACTACATTGTAAACACTGTATGTAAGTAACGTACCCGAATCCTTGCATTGGTTTGATTGGGGAAAGAAAGATCGCACCCTTCCTTCAGATATATTCTAAAACAGAAGAAGCAGTTTTTATAAATGAAATGTGAATGTTTACATTGTGTTTCGATAATTTGCCAGTTTATATGCGAGAGGTGAAATGTGACTTCAGTGTTACTACCTGTTGTGACGGCAGCGGTGACACACTTCGTGGCGTAGGGGCGCTGGGAGCTGCTTGTGGGACGTCCACGTGTGGTTTACTCTGTAATCGCATGCAAGATAAACCAACATATTTGCATTCAAGGATTTAACATAAGTGGGTTTGCAACATTGGGGACAAATCACAAAATTCCATGTTTCCAAGTGAATGAGGCAATCAGCAAGACTCCATCTAAGTCAGCAATGTAAGTTAAGCAATGTTTTATAGTAGACATGTAAAGGACGTTTCCAAATTTGACACATCAGATGAAAATATGATGCAATTCCGTACTTGGACCTGTACCATATGTTAATGTTTTTTGTCAGGTGAACAATTGACTCAACTTTTTATGTGTCTGTGACAGGTGCCAACGGTGGGGCAGGATATGCTCACCTTTAGGCGAACACCTAGTGTCATTGCTATTTGATAGTGATTCATAAACACATGTTCATGATATAGTCGGAAACGTACAACTCTGCTTTATGCAGAGATTTCTATTGTACATGGAAAGGGTTCTGTTGCTTTATTTACTTTTTTAGCCTCGACCAGACAAACCAGGACTGAAAGCATGAAGTCAAAGTGAGACCAGCTCTAGATTTCTGTTGTCTGTGCGTGTCACTGAATCACTAATTCTATGAAGATTAATGAAAAACACATGATTACCATACCCTGCCTCCCACTGATCACCCCGACCTTGGGAAGAACAGTAACTATATCCTCCTTACCACTGAGTCATCCCCTTTATCCACGTCCACCAGATTTGCAGGAATCTCCTCGTCAGCTGATAAATACAGACGATTTTGTCATTTCATAACATACATAACACGCATTGATACAAAGCTAGTACTTCTACAGCAACTATATGATAAGTAGAAATGAACTCGAGAGTTCGACAAGATGATTTAATTTGTTATACCCTGTCTTTGGAGAATACTCAAGTCTGATATGTCAATAACAGATACCAAACGTAACATGTCCACCTCATCTTACGTCCCATTGTACCATCTGTTTAATATTTAGATACAGGCATACAGATTCAGAGTGACAGAAACTAAGACTGCATTACAAGAGGGACGACTTCAACTTTCCAATTTTTAACTTTCCTTTCATGTCAAGCAATATTCCAGTCTTTGACATCTACATCCAACATCCATTTCCCAACTATTGAGTGAGTGGGTATGGTTTTACGCCACTTTTATTAATATTCCAGCAAAATCATGGCGGAGAACACAAGTAAAAGGCCTCATAGAATTGAGGGGAATCGAACCACTAGGCTACCCCGCCCCCGCAACTATTGAGGTTCAATTGAGCATGCTCTTTCAACGAAGATTTCAAAGAGTTTCATACGACCTTTGCTCAGAAGTTTTCATCATGGTTACAGCATTCAAGGCCTTAATAATGTGGTCGGAATCGTACAGAGGACTCTGCTTTTAGCGATGTCATGGCCAGATTTGGAGCTTTCAAAACTGGTATTGAACTAGAAGTTAAAGCTTCATGTCCTTGTTGTATACATGATCATGACAGGCTTGATCGTTTGAGAGGTTTCCCGAAGGGACAATTTCTAGAAGGCTGGCTATACCTATACAAGCGACAATAGAGCGATTCGAGGTCTTCTCGGCCTGACTTGTTTCTAATCTACTTGCCAATTGAGGATTGCATTTGGAAACACCGAATACCTTCGAGCTTCCAACACTGTTCTGGGTTCAAGAACGCAGACGGACTTGTTTTAAGACATTCAACAGTGGAAATATTCTGTTACGTTAATTCTAGGATCTGCTTCTGTTTTTTGCTGCCACTCGTATTGCCTTGTTGATCGTAAGCCTAAATATATGTGTTTAAATATATTTTATTGTTTATTCATTGATATCTAATATATCTTGATACACTAATTTATCATATAATAGGTGGGCAGGATAAAGCCAACGGATAAAAACGATATCCGTTGGTGTCATATGCGGATAGAGATGCAAATATCAAAGGTCAAGTAGGGACTACTTTCACTGTTTATAAGCAAACATGGCGTAACCCTTGTCATTTGGCGATCGAGTCAGAATTAACCATCAGGAATCTGGAGAAACTACTGGGATAATAATAATTTATCCTGCCGAGAAATCTAAAGGGGAGTTACTCTATCGGACAGACCACTGTATTGCCGCAAAAGGCAAGTAAAAACAATTTTTGTCGGCAATTGTTTTTTTATGCATATATGTGGTTACGCCAATGTGTAAGAAACAGGTTTCTGTTGGAACTATATTGGCTACTGTCACTGTCCGACTGACACATCACTTACCCTCTGACGTAATATATATTAATACGCACATTCCAGGATGTATAGGTAATGTTTGTGAGAGATGGAAGAGATTTTCGAGCACAGAATTAAAGAATGACATTTTTGATGAAGAGGTTACATGTATCACACTTGTGTGTTTGGGAACTGTAAATATCCTGTATTAGGAATAGACATTTTGTATTTAGCTCGCCTGGGCTGGATAAACACAATGTTTATTCCTAATACAGGATATTAACCATCCCTAAACACACTCGCGTGATAACCTCTTTATATGAACAACATGTAGTTAACTTTACTGAACTGTATCAAAACTTCAACGATGTTAAATATGCATCTTTTCGTGGGATACAAAACTCATCTATATGTCTCCTATCTTTAAATATCAAACCTACGATTTCCATTGTTGACGATATGATTATAAACGTATCATGATTAATGACGTCAGTACCACACGAAAGACACATAAATCAAAGACTGACAAAAGTGACACTTTGCACTTTCAGTGACGAAGTAACAGTTGGTCACATGAGGTAAAAAAACTTTGTTTCTCAGGTGGTACTGTGTTCGACAATTCAGTAGCAGTGATTCGTACATCCAGAATGAGGAATATCATACATGTGTAACATTACTTAGGATTTATGTACATTATATCAGTTTCTTACAATTGTAAGTAACTAACAAACACAAATCAATGTGGTAAAATTCTCGCGTCCCTGTCGCTTCTGCTTTTCCTCACAAATTATACTAACACGAGGTGAAATGATTGAGAATAATTAAAAAAGTGGCGTTAAACCGAACCCCCTTTCCTGTCACTCTGCTATAGTAGATGAATCTGCTATTTAATCCTTTACTTCAGTTTTCTAAATACAGAAAAATGTCAATAACAATTTAAAAATTGTAATGATTATTTAACCACTGTTTACCACAGTTTTAGAACATCCTGTTTTGATCATACAACATAAACTTACCTCTTTCACTGTTTCTCTCCATCTTTACCTGCAACTGAGTGAAGTTAACTGCCTATTAACATTTTATCATGGAAAAGTATCAACGATCCTAAGCACATATTGTCCATACCTTTTCCCCAAAACTGTAACAAAAATGTTAACCACAACTCATAAATAGTCAGGTTTCAACAACTGTACCTCGTCCTGCTTTATGAATACATAGTTGGACGCCGGACAAACAGTCAGGTGTGCTAAAATGTATGAGATCATTCCTATATCGTATGTATAACAACGTACCTGCTTGGTGACGCGTTGCAGTTCCCTTTCAAGGTTTATGGCTGCGGAATCATCAATATGTGCATCATACTCCCAAACATACAAATCTAAAATAGAAAGACGTGTATTTAAATGAAATGAAACTAGACTTCAAGACACTCACAGAGTATCAGAAATGAACGCCGTTTGACATGCCAGATTACTATTTGAAGGTAGGTAATTACTCTACCTGGCCGCCGCTGTTTCATTATCCAAGAATCTGAAAAATTAAGGTGTTGTACAGAATTATTTTTATTAACTTTATTACATCATATACTTCCAACTAACACTCTTTTGTCGAAAGTAGACTATATAGACAGCAGTAGTTGTAGAAACACAGAAACACTGTTAATGTATTCTGGACTGAAGCAAAGCAAACACATCAGGAAACACCTCGAACACTCAAAATCAAACTCAACTTCATTCATACTCTGCTTGGTTATCCAAGTAGAAACAACGACCCAGTGAACATCATTATTACTTTGACAGACTTGATTTTTAGAATTAAGCTCAACACAACTATGCAATCATTCCAGATGTTTCAGAATGCAGTGAAACAATATCATATGATTATTAAATGTTCTTCATTACTAAACTAATTTACATTCGTGCCATGCTCTATTCCAGTGAAAGGACACTATAACATTGAGACCATATTAAAGATTTCGTAGTTATTCAACTAGATGCTTGTCAATCGGATGTCTTTGTATTTAGTGTTACAAAATGTTGACATATGGAACAAAACAATTAGATTCTCAAAAAACTCTTTTGAAAAAATGTTTTGTGGTTTCGAGCTCATACTGAACTTTTGGCTCTTTATTTTAGTATGCAAGGTTTATTAGCGTAGCGTAGTGTAGCGTAGTGTAGTGTAGTATAATGTAGTGTAGTGTAGTGCAGTGTAGACCGTTGTGTAACCTGTTACACACTCAGTTAGTATAGTGTAGTATAGTGTAGTGTAGTGTAGTTCAGACCGTGGTGTAACGTGTTACATACGCAGTTAGTGTAGTTTAGTGTAGTGTAGTGTAGTGTAGTGTAGTGTAGACAGTGGTGTAACCTGTTACATACGCAGTTAGTGTAGTGTAGTGTAGTGTAGACCCTGGTTTAACCTGTTACACACTCAGTTAGTGTAGTGTAGTGTAGTGTAGTGTAGTGCAGTGCAGTGCAGTGCAGTGCAGTGCAGTGTAGACCGTAGTGTAACCTGTTACATACGCAGTTAGTGTAGTGTAGTGCAGTGTAGACCGTGGGGTAACCTGTTACACACTCAGTGTAGTGTAGTGCAGTGTAGACCGTTGTGTAACCTGTTACACACTCAGTATGTGTAGTGTAGTGTAGTTCAGTATAGACCGTGGTGTAACCTGTTACATACGCAGTTAGTGTAGTGTAGTGTAGTGTAGTGTACACCCTGGTGTAACCTGTTACACACTCAGTTAGTGTAGTGTAGTGTAGTGCAGTGTAGACCGTGGTGTAACCTGTTACACACTCAGTAAGTGCAGTGCAGTGTAGACCGTGTTGTAACCTGTTACACACTCAGTGTATTGTAGTGCAGTGTAGACCGTTGTGTAACCTGTTACACACTCAGTATGAGTAGTGTAGTGTAGTTCAGTATAGACCGTTGTGTAACCTGTTTCACACTCCGTTTGTATAGAGTAGTGTAGTATAGTGTTGTATAGTATAGTGTAGTGCAGTGTAGACTGTGGTGTAACCTGTTACATACGCAGTTAGTGTAGTGTAGTATAGTGTAGTGTAGTGTAGTGTACTGTAGTATAGTGTAGTGCAGTGTAGACCGTGGTGTAACCTGTTACACTCTCAATTATTGTAGTGCAGTGTAGACCGTGTTGTAACCTGTTACATACGCAGTTAGTGTAGTGTAGAGTAGTGTAGTGTAGTGTAGAACGTGGTGTAACCTATTTCACACTCAGTTAGTGTCTTTTGGTGTCGTGTAGTGCAGTGTAGACCATGGTGTAACCTGTTACACACTCAGTTACTGTAGTGTAGACCGTGGTGTAACCTGTTACACACTCACTTAGTGTAGTGTAGACCTTGGTGTAACCTGTTACACATTCAGTTAGGGTAGTGTAGTGCAGTGTAGGCCAATGTGTAACTCGTTACACACTCAGTTAGTATAGTGTAGTGTAGTGCAGTGTAGACCGTGGTGTCACCTGTTACACACACAGTTAGTGTAGTGTAGTGCAGTGTAGACCGTTGTGTAACCTGTTACACACTCAGTAAGTGTAGTGTAGTATAGTGTAGTGTAGTATAGTGTAGTGCAGTGTAGACCATGGTGTAACATGTTACATACGCAGTTAGTGTAGTGTAGTGTAGTGTAGACCGTGGTGTAACTTGTTACACACTCAGCTAGTGTAGTGTAGTGTAGTGTAGTGTAGTGTAGTGTAGTGTAGTGTAGTGTAGTGTAGTGTAGTGTAGTGTAGTGTGGTGTAAACCGTGGTGTAACTTGTTAAGAACTCAGCTAGGGTAGTGTAGTGTAGTGTAGTGTAGTGTAGTGTAGTGTAGTGTAGTGTAGTGTAGTGTAGTGTAGTGCAGTGTAGACCGTTGTGTAACCTGTTAGACACTCAGTTAGTGTAGTGCAGTGTAGTACTGTGTAGACCGTTGTGTAACCTGTTACACACTCAGTTAGTGTAGTGTAGTGAAGTATACTGTAGTGTAGTAAAGTGTAGTGTAATGTAGTGCAGTGTAGACCGTTGTGTAACCTGTTACACACTCAGTTAGTATAGTGTAGTATAGTGTAGTGTAGTGTAGTGTAGACCGTGGTGTAACGTGTTATATACGCAGGTAGTGTAGTTTAGTGTAGTGTAGTGTAGTGTAGTGCAGTGTAGACCGTGGTGTAACCTGTTATACACTCCGTTAGTAGAGTGTAGTGTCGTGCAGTGTAGTGCAGTGTAGACCGTGGTGTAACCTGTAACCTGTAACAGTAACAGTGAAGTGTAGTGTAGTATAGTGTAGTGTAGTATATTGTAGTGTAGTATAGTATAGTGTAGTGCAGTGTAGACCATGGTGTAACATGTTACATACGCAGTTAGTGTAGTGTAGTGTAGTGTAGTGTAGTGTAGACCGTGGTGTAACTTTTTACACACTCAGCTAGTGTAGTGTAGTGTAGTGTAGGGTAGTGTAGTGTAATGTAGACCGTGGTGTAACCTGTTACACACTCAGTTAGTATAGTGTAGTGTAGTGAAGTGTAGTGTAGACCGTGGTGTAACCTGTTACACACTCAGTTGGTATAGTGTAGTGTAGTGTAGTGCAGTGTAGACCGTAGTGTAACTTGTTGCACACTCAGTTAGTGTAGTGTAGTGTAGACCGTGGTGTAACCTGTTACACACTCAGTTAGTGTAGTGTAGTTTAGAATTGTGTAGTGTAGACCATGGTGTAACCTGTTACACCCTCAGTTAGTGTAGTGTAGTGTAGTGTAGTGTAGTGTAGTGTAGTGTAGTGTAGTGTAGTGTAGTGCATTCTACACCGTGGTGTAACCTGTTACACACTCAGTTAGTGTAGTGTAGTATAGTGTACTGTAGACCGTAGTGTAACCTGTTACACATTCAGTTAGTGTAGTGTAGTGTAGTGTAGTGCATTGTCGACGGTGGTGTAACCTACTCTCAGTAAGTGTAGTGTAGTGTAGTGTAGTGCATTGTCGACCGTGGTGTAACCTGTTACACACTCAGTTAATGTAGTGTAGTGAAGTGCAGTGTAGATAATGGTGTGACCTGTTACACACTCAGTTAGTGTAGTGTAGTGAAGTGCATTGTAGACCATGGTGTAACCTGTTACACACTCAGTTAGTGTAGTGTAGTATAGTATAGTGTAGTGTAGTATAGTGTAGTGTAGTGTAGTGTAGTGTAGTGCAGTGTAGACCGTTGTGTAACCTGTTACACACTCAGTTAGTATAGTGTAGTATAGTGAAGTGTAATGTAGTGTAGACCGTGGTGTAACGTGTTACACACTCAGTTAGTGTAGTGTAGTGTAGTATAGTGTAGTGCAGTGTAGTGAAGTGCAGTATAGACCGTGGTGTAACATGTTACACACTCAGTTAGTGTAGTGTAGTGTAGTTTAGTGTAGTGTAGTGTAGTGTAGACCGTGGTGTAACCTGTTACACATTCAGTTAGTGTAGTGTAGTGTAGTATAGTGTAGTGCAGTGTAGTGAAGTGCAGTGTAGATCGTGGTGTAACCTGTTACACACTCAGTTAGTGTAGTGTAGTGTAGTTTAGTGTAGTGAAGTGCAGTGTAGACCGTGGTGTAATCTGTTACACACTCAGTTAGTGTAGTGTAGTGTAGTATAGTGTAGTGCAGTGTAGTGAAGTGCAGTGTAGACCGTGGTGTAACCTGTTACACACTCAGTGTAGTGTAGTGTAGTGAAGTGCATTGTTGACCGTGGTGTAACCTCTTACACACTCAGTTAGTGTAGTGTAGTGAAGTGCAGTGTAGACCATGGTGTGACCTGTTACACACTCAGTTAGTGTAGTGTATTGTAGTACATTTCAGACCGTGGTGTAACCTGTTACACACTCAGTTAGTGTAGAGTAGTATAGTGTAGTGTAGTGCAGTATAGACCGTTGTGTAACCTGTTTCACACTCAGTTAGTATAGTGTAGTGTAGTGCAGTGTAGACCGTGGTGTAACCTGTTACACACTCAGTTAGTGTAGTGTAATGTAGTGTAGTTTAGTGTAGTGTAGTGTAGTGAAGTGCAGTGTAGACCGTGGTGTAACCTGTCACACACTCAGTTACTGTAGTGTAGTGTAGTTTAGTGTAGTGAAGTGGAGTGTAGACCGTGGTGTAACCTGTTACACACTCAGTTAGTGTAGTGTAGTGTAGTGAAGTGCAGTGTAGACCGTGGTGTAACCTGTTACACACTCAGTTAGTGTAGTGTAGTATAGTATAGTGTAGTGTAGTAAAGTGTAGTGTAGTGTAGTGCAGTGTAGACCGTTGTGTAACCTGTTACACACTCAGTTAGTATAGTGTAGTATAGTATAGTGTAGTGTAGTAAAGTGTAGTGTAGTGTAGTGCAGTGTAGACCGTTGTGTAACCTGTTACACACTCAGTTAGTATAGTGTAGTATAGTGTAGTGAAGTGCAGTGTAGACCGTGGTGTAACCTGTACACTCAGTTAGTGTAGTGTAGTGTAGTTTAGTGTAGTGTAGTGTAGTGAAGTGCATTGTCGACCGTGGTGTAACCTCTTATGCACTCAGTAAGTGTAGTGTAGTGAAGTGCAGTG